TTATGCAAGATAGCCAGTTTATTAAACAAGTAGCCGCTTTACTCCTACGCGTGTTTAGGCGTCGTCAACTCGCAAGTTAACCTACCTCTTCATTATTTACCTTCACCTTGTTGTTCTCCTAACGTCGGGGACCAACTTAGCAATCCTAGCAACATTGCACTATTTTAATACTACACTGTTCCACCAACTATAGCTGTCAGTAATATATTATCAAATTTTAACTTCTGTTTTTAGATGCAATATAGTGTCTCATAGGCCGTATTGGCCGGATGTTGTACTCTATTTTATGCCAACATTTTATGATGCTTTTTATGATGTACAACATGTGACACTTTAATAAACAATCTTCTCTCTCTTCTCAGTAAAATGTATTCGACGGATGAGCACTGTGATCTTAGCTATTAATTAGTTATCAAAACAGTGGATCATACAAAAAAAGACGCAAGGGATGTTGGATGGTTTGACTCTCTTTATTTTTGTACTTTTGTACAAAATTGAAATTGATGCATTAAATAAAATGCATTCATAAGGAGAAATATATAGGAATATACATTGTAGGAATGTTACACACGATCACCATACTCCGAGCCTGTGTCCAAAACAATCAATGATGTCGCCGCTACGTAAGTTTAAATCTTTTTGGCATGAGTTGACCAAATTATGAATATGGGTTGTCCATGTCATGTGTTGGTCGAAAGTTACTCCGAAGTATGTAGCTTCCTTTTTTAATTCAATTTCTTGGTTATTTAGGTGCAGTTTGGGGTATAATTTTGCATTCGCTTTGTTTTGAATAGAATGCCCACGGTGTTTTTGACGTAACTATGGAAATCCCATTTTTTAGATGATTTAGCATAGTTTGGGTTTTACTGCTTATTTGTTGTACAGACGTGGAGGAGGTCCAGAATCTTTCTTTCTTTATTCATGTAAATGTAGGCCATCGGCCCATGGTACAACGTTATACATTGGCAGCCTTCAAGCTGTAGCGACGACGATTGTTAGCATAGAAGATGAACATGCCAAGATTTTTTTCTCAAGAGGTCCAGAATGAAACGTCGTCTGCAAATTTAGCTGTAGATTTTAGGGGGTTGTTTTTACTGGGAAAATGTCATTAATCATAAAATAAAATAAAGTTGGGGACAACTCTCCGAGTATAATGGTGTTGGGACCTATGAATTTTGACAGTATATCTAAATCATGGATAGTGAGTTTAATGGATGGTTTTCTGTATACATTTATGATGGTAATTTCTTTGTTATTGAGTTTAGTTTTTATTGCCAGGACTTCTATATATTGAGATGGAATTTGAAAGTGTGAAATGCTCCACATTTGACATGTATTTATATATGAACAGAGATACTTAAGATCAATTTCAAGTTGTACTAATACCTTTACTCACAGTTTTATAATTAACTAATAAAACAAAAAGATGATAGTTCATTGCAAACATCCGCTTCCTCATCTGACAAAACATGTAGTCTAAATCAATACAAGCCGACCCCTTAATTAATGAACTTAGACTCTCCCAGTGTGTTAACACGGTCTGAAATTCGACCGATTAGCACAGAACCACTCAAGCATGATTCGACGGATCGACACCTTCACAAAATGTCTTCAACATAAACAACGGGACTCTAGGAAGATGTCGTTATTTGAAAATACCGCGGTAGTTCCTGTCTGATTGCAATAAAGTATCCCAGCAGTGTATGCTTTTCGGATTTTCTAATGCATGGATGGTATAGTGACTGATCCAATTTGATCTCATTCTGTGTTTTTATACCTCGATATTTAATCATGTCATGTAAACATATGATGTCTATTACATATTATATTTATGACAAATGAAAATTTACTTAGGTATATACAATTTTAACTTAAGTACACATCAAATGTTTATATGTATTTCTTATGCAACAATGAAGTTCCGTTCGTATCGTGACAGTGTCGGCCCATAACTTTTTTCAGGCAATTATTATTGCATGCAATGCAGCGATTACTACTCCCTTTGCTGTAACCCATGTTTGGAGATATAAACCACGTTATTTGTCATTATGATTAGTCGTAATACCACTCAGATTACCCGACAAAGGTTCCCATTTCGCATTTCTTGTGTCTGGAGTAAATACTCAGCATTATGAATTAAGGTCTTATGTGACAAATGTATTACATGTTATGTAATATGGGCATGGAAGTGCAGCAAGACGAATTTTTAGCTGAGTTACAAAAACAAACATTGATCAAAGGATTAACCGATAACGCGCTGATTGATTAATCATCGTTCCTTTATGTGGATATTGATGGACATATTCCCCGAACAAGGTAATAGCCTGACATTGTTGCAGACTTAAGTCTTTTTTATTTCTAATATTTGCATTTTGATTTTATTCATGTGTGGTAGCATTCCACAGAATCATTCCTTTTCACCGTGAAGTGTAATGAGACAGACAACATGCACTAGGTCGTTCTTAGGGCGTGTGTGAAATATGATTTACGTTGGCAATCTATAAAACGTCTAGATATTACAGTCATATTATAAATTCACTATAAGTATAAGCAGATCGTATGCTTTTTATTAAGTTTCAAAATGCATACAGATATGACAATAAACTAATCAGGATTATAAGACAAAATATAAAGACGTACATTGACTTCGATATTTTTCAGTCCTATCATTTTTTACCACTGGTTAAACTTCAAAATGTTTTCATTTGTTAGCATAAAAATGAAGATGGTAATATTTTCGAGTAAAAACGGTTTCATTTTTGTTGATCAATCTATACCTATACTATCATTTGCGCATGTTGATGGTTCAGCGGAGAATACTGGGATATCATCCGGGTACTCACGGGAGAAAAGAAATAACAAAAGTAACAACCAGTCCACGGAAATTGCTCCGGATCAGTGCCCCTTTTAAAATATCGGTATTTCTTCTGCTTCGTGGGTTGCCTTTGGCCTCCGGTATATTGCACCAATGAGATGTAGGAATAAACGTATGTTCAGTTGAGCATTAGCCATTTCGAACTCGAATGTACGTACACTCTCATGCTTCTCATTATATATAAGAAAGAAGAAAAGAAGAAAAATAATTTATTTAAGTGTCAAGCGATACAAGCATTAGACACAAAATAAAATACCATATAAAACATCACCCGGCCAGGTTGGGCCTATTTGACAGTAATTGTCTTAAAATGTACATATAAAAGCACCATATGGTGCTAAAAGGTAATAATAAAAGTAAGCGGCAGTGGTTGTACTTGCATTAAAATACAAACAGCTTTAAAAAAAGGAACACATTTTAGATCACATTTTGAGTGAGTCTAAATCTTAACATATTTTTAATTAAAGCGGGGACAGAGTAGTTAAGGTTCGGTTGTTTCATTAGAAATACGAGTTGATCCTTCTCAGACAGATGGGGGAAATTTTATCTAAAGACGAGGCGCGATTCCAAAGGGGGCTTCTTACGGCTGAATATAAACTGCATGTTGCATATATATATGTAGTTCATCATTATGATTGTTTTGATCATGTTTGATCATTTCCGTGTGCGATGTGTTCACTTCCATCAACCACCAGCCTTGTAATAAGACGTCACATGAGATTAGCCATGTGCTACAAAAACACCCCAAACTTCAGAGCGTACCGCTTGCCGACATCATATAAATCGAAAAGTCGGCTTCCTGAGCCGACACTTTCTCAAACTATTGTCATATAAGTGGTAATCCTTCCTGAGCATTAGAGATCAGATTGGCTTGCTTATTTTGGAATTTAATGCTTTTCACCGTCCGGTACGGACGCGATCAGCAGCAACCCCAGTTTGCTGATGACGTTGAACAAGTCGTGTAATGGTGGTAAGAAGATAGCCCAATTGTCTAGCTACAGCGGTTGCAGAGCTACCTCCCTGCAACTTTCCAGTGGCCATTCCCCTCTTCTCAGTCGTTATTCTAGGCATCGTTTGTGTGGTGTGTACACCTAGCGTCAATACTGAACTGTTTTTTTGACACAAAGCTCTTTAAAGGATACTTCAGAGTAAAATGCATGCTTTCCACCCAGAACCGTCGATGCACGTGCTAAACTTATGGTTTTGCTGCACTGTGAGTGTGCTTGTGCGAATGTTTCGTATGGACGTCAAACTGCATGACATCATCTCATCTGCGATCATTACGTCACTTTACCGTGAACGATACATGTATATACTTTATCCATATGACTCCAAAAAATGTTTGGCCAAGATGTTAACTGCCAAAAAGACAATTCCCCATCACGTATTTATCCAAACAGCCCAGACATAAAAGAAAAGAGGAAAGTGAAACTGTCTAAGTTGTTTCACATTTATGTATGTGCATAAACGTTCAGTCTAACATAAAATACCCCCCTCAAGACTGTTTGATAATACAGACGGCTGCAACCTTCCAATGGTCGGCTTTCCCTGTACCGCGAGCAATATTCCTGTATCATCAATCTCTTGGTTATTTACATATACATATACATATACATATACATATCATAATCTACAGTCAGTTTGAGTCAGAAAACGGACTGATGAATTGCAAATTTTATCATTGTACAAAATTGCCACATAAATATAAATAGTACACATGTTTATCATTTACTAATACCCAACAGCTTTCTTATATTTGAAAATTTTCCGGACTCCACCAAACTAAGAAACTATCATTAAAATTTTGATTTGTTTCGAGGAGGAGCAAAGAAAGGACAGCCAGGTGTTAGAGAAGCACGTGCACAAGTGCCCACCAAGTTATTGATTCATTAGCCTGTGCTGTGCCGTCTCCATCCTTTCTCGCACACCTGGCTGTCCCTTTCTCTGCACTCCTCCCTCGAAAACAAATAGTGAACTGTGTCAAAATTTTAATGATAGTTTCTTAAAGAACTTTTTTGGTGGAGTCCGGAAAATTTTCAAATATAAGAAAGCTGTTGGGTATTAGTAAATGATAAACATGTGTACTATTTATATTTATGTGGCAATTTTATACAATGATAAATTTGCAATTCATCGGTCCGTTTCTGACTCAAACGGACTGTAATTGCGTGGAACATGTTGATGCGGGCAAAACTGGATTGCTTGGGTGGATTTGATAATATACAGATAACTGACATTATCCCCTTTGTAATACTCATCGAAGGTTTTGTTGTACATGGATGTAGACACAGGCATATATGGTGGCTCGATGAGATGTCCTGCTCCAGGATAGATAATGAGCTCAGTGTTCTTCCTCTTCTCTTCAGGACATGTCTCAATAAATGTATTAGCAAAGTCTGTTCTCCACACGGCATCATCTTCTCCACACAAGTACAAGATCTTGGCATTATTCGTCCAGGCCTGAAAAGGCATTGAAATCAAAGTAATGATGCAGCAGCAGTTTCTGTTCCCGGTAAGACGACAGAACACTTTTAATCTGGAGGGAATTCATGAATGAGAGAAATATTGATTTATAGTACTAACACACAAAGGGTACTTTTATGAAAACCACGAGTTAGTGAGTGATTGTCTTGACGAACAAGACACACCTCTTAAAAGGATGCTGAGATTAAAATCAACGATGACAGATTGGATTTAATTCATGAGAAGATATTTTGACAAGAAACGTGTACCCTTGATATAAATATAAACTGAAGATTTATTAATGCCACGTATATACTAACCGGAATTATTTCAGTGTCATAGGGACCGCTGTCTTTTATAGAAACACCTTCATCCGTATGTATCAGTTTACTTTCATTTAACCTAATGATGAAATAAGATCACATGAATGATGTCATTTTCAACGCACATGGCAATTGTTGCTAAACGAAAACGTACACACAGTTCATGCAGGTTAACATAGTTAAGATTCAAATACTCACTAGTCATGAAAGTAAAAAGGTAAAAAGAATAAGATGTGTGGATCCAGGTAAGCATATGTTCCCAGCATTCCTTGTTCAACGGACAACTGAATAGGATCAGGAGAATTAGTTGATCCCTTTAAGCGATTCCGAATTTGCAGTAACACCCTTTCCTTTAGATAAGTGTCGTACGGCACTTTCGCAACAGTTGTTTTATCAAGGTCAAAACGTTCAATCCTTAAAAAAAAGCTTTTAAAAGGTTTTGTGGAAGAGATGTTTCAAAGTTGCATATAACGTTCGGTGCAGTTCCCACTTTTGACTTGAATTATATGTACCTGTGGAGAACTCGTACCTTGCCTTTGAATTGTGTTGTTGGAAACATTTACTGTTAAAATGTTATGAAGACTTAATCGCCAGTACACAAAGACAGCGGTGTCTAATCAACTCAGCCACCGCGGCTTCCCCCAAAATATAAAGTCGGGTTACATCGCAATTTGTAAAATCGCAGAGATGGACATGTAAGAGTGAGTGAGTGAGTTTAGTGTTACGCCGCACTCAGCAATATTCCAGCTATATGGCGGCGGTCTGTAAAAAATCGAGTCTGGAACAGACAATCCAGTGATCAACAGCATGAGCATCGATCTGCATAATTGGGAACCGATGGCATGTGTCAACCAAGTCAGCGAGCCTGACCACCCAATCCCGTTAGTCGCCTCTTACGACAAGCATGGGTTACTGAAGATCATTATCTAACCCGGACCTTCACGGGTATGCATATGTAAGAAAAAAATAATATATTATGTTCATATTTACTGTCCAAAAGCGTTAATGACATTCTACAATCACTTCAAAAGAGAACAGTTAGCATTGTATGTTCATAAAAGAGGAATGTTAATAAACAAACTTAACAAATACAATTATTTTCTATTATAAATTGCAAATTACAAATATATATATATATAGATACTCACTTAAACCCTTTCCGAAAACATCTTCCAGACTTGTTTAAATCATCAAGTGAATACACTGGGGCACCACTTATATTCACCAGAGCCTTCACCTATTGAGGAAATTGACGAAATATTTACATTGGAAACCTGACTCTGAAAAATCATCCTTTATATGTTTTCGATCTCAAAACACTATTAGACTCCACGGAAAAATGACTATGTTGATGTCATTTTGTTGCATTTCCATGGCAACAAGTTAATCTTCAACTGAATTTGGTGGTAGTGCTCCTTTCTGAAGCAAATCTTAAAAACCTTTCAATGCTCTCCTTCAACCTTGCTGTATAGATCTACACTCAAAACCATTTGACATAATCATAACTAGTAGACATATTCAAAACGAGTATTTTGCCGTTGCGGGGGTTATTGATGACTTTGTCTTCTTGTTAAAGTAGTCTATATTACTATTAATGACAGAGGTATACTTTGTTAACTTATAAAATTCAGTGAGCTCCTTCTGTATGAACTGGAATGTTGGTGGGTAGTTATTCTTTCTAAAGTTGAAAAGATTCGTTTTGACAGGATAATTACAAGGTTTAAGGAGTTGTTATTTTTTATAGATAGCCAAAAAGAACGTTTTCTTTGGATATTGTTACCGGGATTTGCATTTTATCAAACTTTCCAGGTCTCTCCAGATGGAACTCACTTTGTTGCATTCCCAGAATATATATGTGTATGACAGCTCCCATTTCTTCCAACTGCATTTTGTACTGTCTACATAACCCATCTTAGTGAGGAGTTGGTTGACAAGATATGGTGTAAGATTTGATATTGGAACCACTGTAGTTCAGTCAAATTCGTGCAACTAAACGGGATAGAAATGATACTCTTCCTATCTTGTTCCTTAATATCATGTCCAAGAACGTACTCCCATTTAGAGAAGTGATTATTTCTCTCATAATTGTAAAATAAGTATTTTGTAGTAATACTGTGAACCTTTTTTTGTTTGTTCAGATGGTATGTATGAAATGGTAATGGATCTTTTCCTTATTCAAGTCCATGGGCTTTAGTTTGGATTTGATTCTTGGGTGTTTAGAGTGACGTCCGTTTCCAAACGCATGGCGAACCTCGACGTTTTTAACATTAGTAGTGCCTCTGCGAGATTATCACGTTTACAGAACATTTTGGACACCGGTTACAGGGCAGTTATTAGTTGCAGAAATTGATCATCTTAACCCCTATGATGTGCATGCAGTTGCAGTTAAATTGAGCCATGTGGTCATTCAATTTTGAATATAAACCAGTTTACTGATAAAAGCATTTTTGAAAAAAAAACCGATTTTTTATATTTTTCAACATATTGCGCATTTTCGAATTTAAGCCTTTGGCTTAAATACGGGAATTCCCGGTACCCCATTTAAAAACCAAGCGTTGTAAAATATGTATAGTTCAAGTCAGTCATTTCGTCGAAATCAGTACTGAATTTTATTTCAAAAAGATCGAACGGATCATAGTTTGATTCCAGAACGTTTTTATTATCCTATCCAGAATACCATCGTTTTATCTATATGTGCTTTGAACCCAGAAAATCTAGCATAGAAACTAAGAACCTGTAGTACAGCGTAGAGGCATTGTTGTGAAGGGTCTAGAAAACAAGTTGTGTCGTCTGTTAATTGTGAAAGTAAATAATCTGTGTTACCAAAGCTAAATACCTTTTATGTCTTTGTTGATTCTTACCATTATTGCTAATATTTCAGCACATAGTATAAAGATGTAGGGAGATAAGGGATAATCTTGTCTACGACCCCTAAATATTTTGAAATGGGGGTATCCAAAGCCATCAACAATTACACATGATTCCCCTACTACGGGGAATAACATCGGAGGCACACATGGCGTTGTAGCCACGGAGAGGTTATGGACTGAGATTTCATCAATATGTGCCATCTGTTAGATATGGCGTAGTAAGACTTATACAGAGTGAATTATACAATGTTCTTCCTGAACGCCATGTCACAATACAAATTTCTCACTCCGAGTGAGTGAGTGAGTTATTATTTAACGTCACATCGGCAATATTTCAGCCATATCGTGACGAGAACACTTGACATTGAATGAGAATATATATAGAGATTATAAAACCTATAAAGGACAGTAAAGCAACTAGAGTATCACAGATATATATGTAAAACTAGTAATTGAATCTAAAACATTTTAACTATAGGGGACAACACAATATAAAAATGGGCTATAGATCGCCAACAACTGAAGGTAGATCACCATACTAGGAGCCATGGGGTTCTCACTCCGAAGGAAAGCAAATACGATACTGTTGAGCGCACGGTTTTGAAATGAAACTGACTGACTGACTGACTGAGTTTGGTTTTACGCCGCTTTTAGCAATATTCCAGCAACATCACGGCGGGGGACACCAGAAATGGGCTTCACTCATTGTACCCATTTCGGGATTCTAACCCGGGTCTTCGACGTGACGAGCCAACGCTTTAACCACTAGGCTACCCCACCGCCCCAAATGAAACTGAACTCATGCATACAGTTTGATGTAAATACATCTTTTTTACAAATTGGTAGTGCATATAAATTACTTAGATTGTTAGGGGTTATACCCTCGAGTGGGTTGAAGTAACGTAACATAATTGTCCACCTACGAGGGTTTGTAAGTTTCACATATTTCGACGTATTTCTATGGAGACCATACTTTTAAAGTATTTGTCATGTTTAATTGATGGCTTAACTCACTATCACCAGTGACTGAAGGGATGATGTAAATCCAGCTAGGGTCCATGCAGGTAGCTAAGGTACTGTAAGTCCCCTCCGTCCCTCATATGGTGATCTACCTTCAGTCGCTGGTGACCTATAGCCCGGTTTTATGTTGTATTGTCCTGTATTGTTGTAAATAATTTGATGCTTAATGGACATGGTTATCTCAAAGTTTATAAGTGATAGTTTGAAAGTGATTCATTTAGGGTAGAATCCCGCTCACCTGATCAGTTGACATGCCAAGCAGGAAGGCCAGTTCACCTCCCTTGGAAGTACCGACCACTCCAATACCTCCAGGTAAGACACTGGGATGAGACGCCAGCCAGTCTACAGCATCCTGAACAAAATGCTAACATAAATATGCCACAGGAACATCACATAGTGTGCACAGGTTGATGTCTTATCAACTTCAATTTCTTGGAAACTCAACATACCTGTGAATGAACCACGCACATGTTAAAATTGTCAGAAACGGCGTGTCTCCACATAGACCCTGGTACTTTAAGCGTCTCTCTTAGTTAAGAGCGTCTCAAATTATGAAGTTTTAAACTGTCGTAAAAGCAATGCTAAATGTCAAACACATAATTTTGCTAATTTCCCGTAACACATGAGTCTTCCAATACAAAATGCTAACTACAATTATCTTTAACATAATGAATATCTTGGGGTAGAAAGGCCCATTGCGGGTTCAGTTAAAACTATAAAAAAAACCCATTTGTATCACACTATTCAGCATTCAATCAACATTCACTGAACAAAATAGAATTACAAAAAGTAACTTGTTACATACATCTGACATGTGTGCTGGGCCCTTAGCACATGAAGTTTTATAGAGGTCACGTGACCTGCCTCAACAGCAATTTCAGGGACTGCCTACATGTAAGATTGGTTTCAGCCAACCTCAGTTAACGTGCTAGTAATGAATGGTGAACAGTTAGAGAATAATCCTGATTAATAACAGTATAGCCATTTATAACACTTGCACAATTACCAATTAACCATAGTCAGTACAGAACAACTTACAAGAAAGTAATCAAAGTCAATATCAGCTAGTGAAGTCGGCAGGTCATCATATCTTAAGTAGGCAAGAGCAAAGCAAGCAAAGCCTCTGGAAGCCAGTAATGCAGCACGGAACTCTGTCACACCTCCCGCTGCGCCAAACATGTCGAGCACTGCAGGAAATGTCCCTTCACCTGTATACAATCAATGAAGGGGCTTTAATCTGTGCTGTAGGTTATCAGTAACAATGCAACCTCGGTGTGTATGCATATATTCAACTAACTTATGTAAACTCTTTCCGACAATTAATCAAGATATGAGATACGAATGTTTCCAGTAATTCACGTATTATGACATTTCTTCAAACAATATTACACATAAATATAGCTTAATTTTCGAATTATGCGGGCCTTACCCTTAGGAAAGAAAACAGTTCCTCTCAGGGAACCTTCATGAACGACAGCTCTTTTCACACTACTGTGTTTGTACCATCGTTCTAACACGCTTGTGGCTAGTATCAATGGTGTTGACGGCCGGAAGTGATCTAAGGGAACGTGGTCATCTAGGACTGACAGTCTGAAGACCAGAGGAGTTGTAACATCTGTCTTTCTGAGAAGCGACCTCTTAGATATTCCTGGAACCGGCTTCAGACTCCAGAACAGTCCCATGCTGTCAACACCTGAATATAGAAGCATATAAGCGATGGTGTATTTGAGTGAAGGAATGGTAATGATATGTGGATTTGTAACCCAAAGTGAATTATCTTGGGTACAAAACGACAGTGATCAACATGTACAGTGAGAGGTGCTGTCAACACTTCTTGTACGGTTCATCCTAATGTATGTTCATGTACGGGTTCAGCTTTGTAAGGCTCATGGTGGTTTTGCATAATATACAGCTATGTCAAAGTGTCAGTTTAATAATTCAATTTTTACTCAAGATGAAAATAGATAAAGATCTTAGACGCAATATACACGTCAAAAATGAACTTCATTACCTCAGTCTTCTTGGATGAGTCGTTTACAGAGTTCAAATTTCTTTTCGAAAAGAAATCTCAAAGTGCTGTGGTCGATTAGACGTATTTGTTGAGCCCGACCTCTGACTACACAGTAACACCTGTCATTATCATTATTACAAACCTCAACTCACTCCTAGAAACAGGATGGAAAAGTTGGGAAAGACTGCCAAAGATTGGACAGTGTCCTTAAGTATGTGCTTGAATAAAACTGGTTTCAGAGTTGTCCGTGTGATGATTTGAGTTCATCAATATTGTCATCACCTGGAACTATTCTTTACATAGCTGTTGAGCAGAAGTAATATCCCTGATTTTAAACAAAGAGGTAGCAGTAGAGATAATCGTGAAAGACATTGATGCACACACTGTAAATATTATAGAGATAAATGAAAGTATGTGCAATATTTATCGGAGGTGGATCGTCAAGATGTCGATTAATATTCCTGTTGATTCGTGTCTAAAGCTATCTATCATAATGTCTATTACGATGTTTGTGTTAATGACCCAGAACATTTGCATACCTCTGTACGTTCCACCTAGAGAAGCATGTTGAGAAACGTTGACCTGTCCCTGTTGGTCTGCCTGAAAATGGCCACATGAGTTGAACACTGCCTTTCCTTCCTCCACCCATAACTTTACCGTCACTCGCTGTTGTGGACGAAGACCGCTGACTATGATGGAGACCTTTTCGTCAACAAGTGCCACACGAGGGCTAACATTCACACACACCATGCTGAAATATCTTTGGCTTTGAATGGCGATGAACCTTGATATTGGTTTAATGTAACACTTTCCCCACAAAGGAAACATCACAACTGCATTAGAAGCAACGTAAGAGGTCTCTGACAATCACCAAGGCAACATTTAAAGGTATGTTGTATTATCAGCTCACATTTATGTTGGTTGACGGCTTCAGGATGATTGGATCAGACTCGTTATAACTGAAAGTATGATTGCATATTTATTTATTTGCTTTGACTCATTATTATGCAACAGCTGAGTGTCGGAATTCACTTTTGCCACATCAGATGACACAAGGAAGCAGATCATAGTCAGTTCAGTCAGAAAAGCTTTCTTGTGTAGTCTCATTTGTCGAGTTCAGTTATACAATGATAAACATCCAGAGATAATATTAGGAGGAATTTGCAACTCCACCTACTGGTTTTTTTTAATGTCACAGCATAATTTTTTTAGGGATGTCTGTCTATGCCAACCTCCAGATATACAATATTATTATATTCTTTGACATCTTAGTGAAGTCAGATAGATTTCTCATTCACACTGGAGGGTCTATCATATCTGTTAGAGTGACAAAGCGAACAGCTGTTTTACAGCCCCGTACCCTCACCAACCCAGGTGTTTGTCATAGGCTTCCACTATGACACCGTCCCCATTATTCACACCTAAAAAGTGTAAAAGATAAAGATATTGCAATTTCTTCTGACGAGTAATCTGTATCAAATGAGGTCTTAGTCACGATTTCTGGTTGTTAAGGAGTTGATGGTGAGCCCCTCAACATTCACTCCTTTAGAGTTCCAAAATCTATTGGGGCGGTGGGGTAGCCTGGTGGTTAAAGCGTTCGGTCGTCACGCCGAAGAACTGATTTGGTGCCACACAACGGTACAATGTGTGACGCACATTTCTGATTTTCTCTGCCGTGATTTAAACATTAACTCACTCACTCACACTGCCGTGATATTGCTAAAAGCGGCGTAAAACCTACCTCATTCACTCGCTCTCTAAAAATCACCTCTCTAGGTATTATGTTGACTTAAATTAGCTTTCTTACCTGCATGGGCCCAAGCGGGAGTTACATAATGCCTCAAGGTGTTAGCAGTTGTTGACACATAAAACATTTTGGTCAGACTAAAAGGACGTGTTTTACGTGGAATAAAAGTGACTAAAATTCCGATTATGTTATGGCACATTCGGTGATACTACAACAGTATGACGGCGATTTGTCAATAATTGAGTTTCGACATCATAAAATATGACAACAGAGCGTATTTTCATGAATAACTATGAACTAGTGATGATACCAAAGTTGAGTCATACACATATGCAAATCCAAGTCAATTGTCTACCTTAAACAATTCGGGAACGTATAGTACAAGTCAAACTAGGGAATTGCGGCCATCATTTTTGTCACTGATGCATCAAGTGTTGAATTTTGCTAAACACGTCTACCACAAAACGTTTTGAAAGCTTTACTGAGGATTTGGAGTTTTAAACCTTGATTGAAAAGCTCCTATGCATGAATCGTATGACACTTGAAATCCTTGTAAAAAGACAATTTTCTCGTTGATTCAAGTTGCTTTCAAAACTTGAAATTTCGAATATTTTCTTGTTTCTTTGAGTATTTTCTCGTTCCTTCAACAATTTTCTCGTTGCTTGGATTAATTTCTAATTGCTTCAGGTTTCTTTCAAACACTTGGAATTTCAACAACAAAATACTCAAAGCAGCAGGTTAATACTCGTTTTTTGACAGAAACTTGAAGTAACGAGAAAATACCCTAAGCAACAAATTGTCAGTTTGATGATCATCGGACCATGTAAGAACCTAGATTACCACAAAGTAAACACAACTTAAGTTAATCTTCTTGACCAAGCTGATTTTGTCAATCCAAGCAGAAATTCTGATTGATATGCATTAAGAAAAAGGGGGCATAACTACATAAATAATCCTAAATAAAAGGAAGCAGTACTTGATATGGTTGATGAACTGAATTTATATGATCCATGGCGAGCAAATAATGTAAATGTACGCAGATACAATTGGAGGAAGCCTACACCCATAAAACAAGCACGATTAGATTCTTTCCTCGTAAGACAAAACATGGAATAATCAATAATCTGTACTAAAATAGAACCCATTTATCGGTCTGATCATTCCATAATCTCTTTATATATTGAATTCACAAAAATAGAATGGGGTAGAGGCCTTTGGAAATTTAATAACAGTTTATTACAGGATCCACATTATGTGACATTAACTATTATTCAAGAAACCGTTGATCAGTATCACAGTCGATCCACTGAAGGAGATCGAGTATTAATGATAAACGAACAAATATTCTTTGAAGTATTATTATGTAATATTCGAGGATATACAATTAAATATTCATCTCAATAAAAGAAAGAATCAAAGCAGAAAAGGAAATCAATGAAGCACTTGAAAATCTTGAAGTCGAATTAGATACAGCCATCAACGAAGAATACAAAGATAAACTATTAAAAGAAATCAATGAGCTCAAAGAACAACAATTAGAGCTTAACCGATACAAAACAGAAGGCATTATACTAAGATTGAAAGCGAAATGGCATGAACAGGGAGAGAAACCGTTCAAATATTTCCTGTCACTTGAAAAACAAAACTTTCAAAATATATCTATTGCTAAATTAGAAACTATACATGGAACTGTTTTTGAAACTACAGATATTATTAAACATAATAAAGACTACTTTCAGAATCTATATACTAGTAAAGATGCAAAAGACATAGAAATTGAAGAACTTTTTTTAAAAATTGCACTATACCAAAAATAACTGAAGAAGAATCTCAATCCCAGGAAGGCGAACTACAGTATGATGAAGTCCTTCAATCTCATCATTAACTCATTGAATCACGCATTCAAAACAGGTGAACTTTCGGTAGGCCAAAAATAGGGCCTTATAACATGTATTCCCATACAAGATAAACCAAGAGAGCAAATTAAAAACTACAGACCAATATTACTTCTTAATATATCGAATAACTGGCCTCGTCTGTAATTTCAGCGCGAATAAAACGTGTACTCCCGAAAATAATAAGCGACGATCAAAAAGGCTTCATGAAAGGTCGATACACTGGTGAATGTACGAGATTGGTCAGTGACATCATGGAATATACAGACTATATGAATATACCAGGATTGTTGATAATGATAGACTTTGAAAACCTTTGATTCCGTGGAATGGTCGTTTATTGAGCAATGTTTCAATTTCTTTAATTTGGGACCATCAATCAAACACTGGATTAAAACATTTTACGACATAAATTCAAGCGTGTTGATAATGGCTTTGCATCAGACTTCAACATTAGTAGAGGCTGTAGACAAGGTGATCCTCTATCGTCATATATATTTCTCATAGTCGCAGAAATCCTTGCTCACATATTACGTCATAATGACAAAAAAAGAGGGATAAAAATGTTAGACCTAGAATATTTGCTAACACAGTTTGCAGACGATACAACTATAATATTAGACGGATCTAAACGTACCTTTCAAACAGCATTACAATTACTAAAACAATATGCATCCTTCTCTGGTCTTAAAATAAACATTGATAAAACTAAAGTAGTGTGGATAGGTTCTGAACAATTCTCACGTACACGGTATTGCAGAGATTATAATCTGGACTGGACGCAAAGACCTTTCAAACCGCTAGGTATTCTATTTCAACATAATAAGGCAGAAATGGTGGAAAAACTATCTTGAAAAGCCTACTATTGCCCACACTCAATCATTTATTTACGACACCCTTATAAGAAATATGACTTCTGCAACAGTATATTTGGGCAAATAACAATATGAAAAACGGAAACAAATCTATATTATATGAACACTACTTAAAAGCAAATGTAAATTGTATCAATGACTTATTAAAAGATGATGAATACTTTCTGTCTTTCACTGAGATTAAAGAGATGTAGAGCTGCAGCCAAAGCAGCTTTTGACAAGCCCTTTTCTCCACTGCTGATCCCGTACAGTGACTTCAAACCCACTATCAAAAGCTATACTCGGGACTTCATGCAAAAGAGGTGGGACACTCAAGTAGGAAGAAATAAACTGTAATGAACTGAAGCCAACAATTGGTTATACCTACTTGGGTTGTCAGTAATTTTACGACGATGTCGTATTGGCCACAGTCAGTTTACACATGACTATCTGCTGAAACTGAGGGGGATGGACCCCCCATGTGTGTCTCTTGCGATGAGGTTTTCACCATCAAGCATATTCTGCTCGACTGTGTGAACTTATCGTATGGACTCACATTATGATGCAACAAATCTGAAAGATCTGTTCTTCCGCGTGAGCGCTCATCTGATAGTGAACTACCTGAGGTAAGTTGATCTGTATCATAAATTGTAACTGTGTAGTGTCACTAACAAATTGCCTGCCTTTAAATTTAGTGCTATGCCTTTTTCTGTCTTTAAATGACAATTAAATGAATATATGTTTTTGAAATAAAACTCACTTTGACTCTGTACCTGCAATGATTATTAATGCAGACTTGTTCTCGTCACTATATGGCTTGAATAATGCCGATGTGACGTAAAGCTCAACTCAACTCAACTATAGAGTAGAGACAAATTTCTTAGAATATGCGGGAATAATATCTTCAATAAAACAATATATTGAAACAAGAAGCTACAATATTGACAAAGGAAAGACATTTACCCTTTATTCCCCCAAATGTAAAAGTACTCTATGAAAATCAGAAAGGCTGCAATATTTTCTACGCAATGCTACTAAACAAGGTTAACTCCATTCCAAGCTTAGGTTATCAATGTAAATGGGAAAAAGACCTTCATCACAATTTTCCAGCTGACCTTTGGAATACGTATCACTTTTATACCATTTAGAGTTTTTCAGAACACCAAGGAAAGATGGTTTCAATATCGTATTCTCACAACCAATAAAGACAATTATAATATAATAGGATCACCACTATGTACTTTTGCAATGCTC